GGTTTCGATACCCGTGGTGGGCAGAGCACAGATAGCCCATTGTGTAGCTTTGTGCTTAATTACAAACAAACAAACATGTAAATTTCATAACATTTTGAAATTAAGAATAAATCATAATGATTTTGGGAGTTATATTTTTTTAGGTAAAGTTGAAATCCAAAACATATTTTTATGTTTCAAAATTAATAGAATTATTAATTTTTAGGTAAATACATTTGCATGTTGTACAAAAAGGTTTATTTTGGTCAGTGCAGAGAAAGGTTGTACATTTTGTTTGGTAATGTTTTGGATTAATCAAACAAGAAAATATTCATTTTAAAAAACCAAAGAGAGTATTTATTCTAAAACTCCTTACTTTGTGTAATTTTTATTCTGTACAGCTGCAGATTAATATTGCTATGTAAAGTAACTGTGGAGTGCTTATACCTAAAAGTAACTGGGTTTAAAGGCATTTGATTTTCTTTCAAAGATTCCTCTTTAATAGCATTTATGTTTGGTTTGTTTTGAATTTTGCACAAAGCTACGTCAGGGCCATCTGTGCTAGCCTTCCCTAATTTAGCAGTGATAGACTAGAGGGAAGGCAAGTAGTCAACACCACCCACCACCAACTGTTGGTCTAGTCTTTTTATCCATGAATAGTGGGGTTGAATGTCACATTATAATGTCCCCACACCTGAAACTGGTGGCTGGGATTTGAATCCATGACCTGCAGATTGCAAGCTGAGCACCCTAACCACTAGGTCATGCCAGGCCCAGCACTTCTGATAATATATATAGCAAGTATAATGTAACCTGAAATTTTGTCATTATAATGGATTTTTCTTATTCGTACATAAAACTATAGCAAATTGAAGCATAGTTTTCAGTAAAGGTGGATTAATTATTTGTTTTTCAGACAAAAATAGAAGTTGTTGCTAAAGAAGATTTTGAAAACAAAGAGAACACAGCAAGGTAAGTGAAATTTAACATAATTATCACTTCAAATATTTTGGTATCAACCTGGGTATAGATGCTTCATATGGGGACAATCAGTATTTCAGTAGAGAAGTATAAGTTCTATTTGAGACTAGAATAAAACCAATAAAATCTGTTTCAAAATGCAACTGTTTTTGCTTATTAGGTTATTAACCCTTTCGAGATGGGTCACATGTCAAAGTGTCATGTCATCTTGTTTGTTGACTCGCATTAAAAATTTTATTGAACTACTATTTTATGAATTTATGTCAGTAAGTTTGGTATGAAACTGTAGATTATAATTCCAATTCTAGTACTACACATTACTCAAATTCTTAATTTAAAAGTAATTATTAAAAAACACAGATAAAGATTGATTTTTTTGTGTCACGTGGTATGTTGAATGCAGAACTGGTTCAAATTAGATGTTTGTGAAGTCAAAATACTAAGTCTGTAGTTTTGTACGAATTAGAAATTTAAATTATCGATATTAACAAGCTGGAACATAAAATAAGAACCTCTTATCTTTATAATTTGCTAAGATATTGCTCATGTAATAAATCAAACACAGCGGCACCATACCCACCTCTTTCCATTTTTGGAAATGCTCCATTATGTACACTTACATCTATATATGACATGAATAACTAATTGGAAGCTCAGAATGTCCCCCTAACGGCTTTATCGGACATTTTAACGGGATGGGACATTTCTTTCTTTTGAGCAAATGTTTGAAGGAGGTAGAATGTGTCTTTACTCTGCTCCAAATTTCATATTTTTTTAGACTAAAATACATCTTAGTTACTAAGCTTGATAAATTATAGTGGAATTCTATGGTATTGATGTAGTAATTTATGATCTTTTAGTTATTCAAATATATATATATATAAAACCTAAAAAGAATTATTTTGTTTCATATCCTTCAAGTGCAAAATTTTCAAAGGCTTAGCAACCTGCATCAAGCAGCAACTGAGTACAAAGGTCATAACTGGAAAAGATAATTGTTTGCTGTACTTCTTTATTTACTGTTCTGTGTTTTAAGAAAAATAAGTTTAAGAACTTATTTTTTAAAATAGCAATAATCTATATACATA